TAAAAGTACTTTTATTTCCACAACCATTGGACTGAGAGGTTTCTTTCTTGGTTACTGAAGGAGGCATGCCTGACATTAAGCAAGGTCTCTCTTTGCGCTCATCCTGGAGCTAACACCTTCTGAGGGGAGTGCAATAAAAACCCAAACCTCCAAAGAAATGTCCAACCAAGGCAGTGACCAGGAGGACAAATGGCTGGCTGCAGGGGACTCATGCCCTTTGGAGTCAGAGCGTATGGTGGAACTGAATTTTGAGTTTTGGTCATTGGCAGTGGGGCAGAAATATGAGCCTGAGGAAAATCCTGCCGGAGTTATCACAAACACGTGAGGAACACGTGAGTTTGGTCTGCTCAGTCCTCAAGAAACTCTGAGCCGCTGAACTTTATGCCAAATTGTCTAAATGTGAATTTCATCAGGAGATCGATTACCTGGGATACCATATCTCCCACAAAGGCATCGAGATGGACCAGGCAAAAGTCCAGGCCGTTACTGATTGGGCGCCTCCTCGCACCCGCAAGCAATTGCAAGGTTTTCTGGGATTTGCAAATTTTTATCAATTTATTCCCTCGTTCGCTAGCATCGCTCTGCCCATTACAAATCTTCCAAAATCTAAAGGAGAAGCAAAACCTAGGCCGGGGAAGCCATTGAACTGGACTATGGAGTGTCAAGCCGCTTTCAAGAAATTAAAGCAACTCTTTGCAGCAGAGACGGTTTTGAAACACCCTGATATGGATGCGCCATTTGTGGTACAGGCTGATGCCAGTGACGTGGCGGTGGGAGTGGTATTACTTCAAACAAACACTGAGGGTAAATTGCAACCATGTGCTTACACCTCCTGTAAGCTTACAAAGACGGAAAGGAGATGGGCCATATGGGAGAAGGAAGCTTTTGCTGTCAGATGGGCTTTGATGACATGGCGACATTTCCTGGAGGGGGCGAAACACCCTTTTGAAGTATGGACTGATCATAAAAATTTAGAAGCATTGAAAACCCCGTGTAAACTGTCACCTAAACAAGTGTGTTGGGCACAACACTTCAACAGGTTCAATTTTACCTCGAAATACATCCCCGGCGGGGGGGGGGGGGATAACTTTATGGCTGATGCCTTGTCCAGGCTTCCCCAGTACAACAGCTCTAAACTGAGCGTGGTTCATCCAGTCATCCCAGCTAAAAATCTGGCCACACCAATGGTTACTAGAAGCCAAAGCCCTGTTGACTTGGATGTGACTACAGACCTAACGAACAAACTCAAGAAGGGCCTTGAATCCGATGACTGGTTCAAGTAACATTGTGATGAATGCACCATGAAGGCTGGACTGGCTTGGGTGGGGGCTAAATTATATGTTCCTGCTACCCTGAAACCGGTCGTTCTTCAACAGGCCCACAATTCAAGAATGGTGGGCCATTTTGGATTTGTAAAGACTTTGCATTTGATTAAGAGGTAGTTGTGGTGGCCTTCATTGAAAAAAAACATTGAGTCCTACATAGCCAGTTGTCCCGTCCGTGCGGCCGCAAAAAGACCGCCAGGGAAACCCCAGGGTCTCCTCAAAAGTGTTGCCCGTCCTGGAGCCCCATGGAAGGAGATATCAATGGACTTTATTGTCAAATTACCAGAAAGTCTAGGATATACCATTATTTGGGTTATCACCAATTTGTTTTCCAAACAGGTTCATTTTGTGCCTTGCTCCAAGATCCCGTCACCAAAGTTGTTGGCTAAATTGTTTATTTCACATGTATATAGATTACATGGTGTGCCTGAACGCATAATTTCAGACAGGGGGGGTTCAATTCACCTCCCTCTTTTGGAAAGAGTTCCTCAAATTGAATGGCTCCACCCAGGGGCTAAGCTCCGCCCACCATCCTCCTGAATTGCATCAAGAAAAACCACAAATTTTGTCCTTATCTGAGTGGAGTGATCAATTTCGGAAATTTTGGCCCATGACCCACAAAGCATTGGATGCCGCTCACGAGGCTCACAAAAAACAGGCGGATAAGAAACAGACTGAACAGAGAGAGTGCAAAGTTGGGGATAGGATGTTTTTATCCACTAGGTTCCTGCAAACCACCCAAAAATCGAAGAAGCTGGGCCCGAAGTATGCAGGACCGTTCTCCATTGTGAAAATCATAAATCCTGTATCGGTAAAATTGGAGTTGCCAAAGACCCTTAGAAGAATTTATCCTGTGTTTCATGTGAACCTGTTAAAACCGGAACACACTTCTTCTTTTCGTCCTCCTCAACCTTCACCTCTGGTCCCTCTTCTTATTGAGGGAGAACAACATTTTGAGGTTAAAGAAATCTTGGACTCCAGAAAACATAGGGGTCGCATTCAGTATTTAGTATTCTGGAAACATTTCCCCCCTTCTCAGGTGGAATGGGTTGACAAATCTCATGTTAGAGCTCCCAGACTTTTATGGTAATTCTACTCTAGTTATCCTGATAAACCTTTATTTAATATATTCTTGTTTTGTATTGTTTGTTTTCCTTTTCTCTTTTTCTGCAGGGATGATATCTCTCTTGAAGGAGGGCCGGATGTCAACCTCTGCTTCGCTTGCTTGTTTTTGGCTGCCATGGAAACGAGGGGGAGGGCATGGTATTTGGGGTGGGAATAAGGACAGGAGGATTTGTCAAACAGGGAGTTTTGTTCTCACCATCGTCTGTGCATGCTGATGGCTGATGTTTGGACCTGGTCAAGGCCAACCGTCCTGCATATTAACCTGATGATGCTACTTGGAGATGCAACCCACATGACAACTAAGGGAGATGCAGATTGGGCAATGGGGTGGGGGTTGTTGGAGGGAGGGGGCTGGGCAAAAGTTTGATATGTATGATTTCGTGCTTTTCTGCCTCAACCTTGCTTTACTTCGCTGCTATCTCTTTGTAACCAGTAAAAGTACTTTTAATTCCACAACTATTGGATTGAGAGGTTTCTTTCTTGGTTACTGAGGGAGGCATGCTTGACACTATAGTACTTTGATGGGGCTAAACACATAGTCTTATTTAAGAGAACTGGTATGGTTTCAATGATTTTTAACCTGAGTTGCATTAGGAATTAGAGCTGAATCTAGGGCCATCTGCACAATAGTTTTCACTCTTGACTGTCCTACTATATACACATGTCTGTATTGTTGGTCTTCTTGTTGGCTTTCATTCATAGAGTTGGCATGCTGCGACCCAAATTAGCCTCAGACGTTTCAGTTACTTTTATGTTGATGGTGCTCAAACCCAGAGTGCTTGCAAAATAACCTACTTTAATAATCTGCAGAAATTATACACTCACAACACCCTCTTTTTCCTAGCAGACCGTGATAAGAAACAAACCTTGAATTGCTGTGAGGCAGTTCTATGAATTTACATTTTCAGTCTACATTTTACAGTCTACATTTTCAGTTTACATTTTACATTTTCATAGAACTTACATTCAGTTCTATGAATTACATTTTAATATATAGAAACTTTATTCTGTTTTACACACACACAAACACACACACACGGCAAGCTAGACTTTCCTTCCCCTGTTGTGGTTTTGAGGGCACAAAATGGAAAACCAAAAGAAACTTTCTGTAAACCAATATTTTAAAGTTGCGAGGTCATTATCAGTTTATGAAATGGCATTCTTTCCAAGGTTGACAGTCATGCTTGCGTTACTTATAGTTGCAGCTTAACATGGTGAGAATAATACATCCAGTTCATTCTGACAAACAACTCATTTGGGGCAGCTGTAATTCTATAATTTTGTTGTGTACTCAGAGTAAATGCCAGTTGTCTGGCTTTGAATTTTAAAGCTAGAGAAAACACATAATTTCCATTCCTGTTCATGGATGTCTTCTCATTTTGTAGTCTGGTCTAATATTACAAATAGTTTTGTTCTGTGGCCACCTTACTAGAAGCATGATAATAGACAGTGTGTCAAAGATGACTTTTGTCTTTCTTTGAAGCATCATTCAGAGTTTTTCTTTCCATAACTGGCAAAAGTAGCAAACAAAAATAAAAGCCAAAGCTTCAAACTTCCAATTACTAACTCATTGGTTCAATTCAAAAGATTTATTCTTCCTTCTGAAAATATTTCTGCCATGTTTTCTATTTGTACGAAGTACAAGTATTCCATCACATGTTTTGCATTTTCTGATACTGACTTGATGTCTCAGAATTGTTTTACTCAGATTGTGGACTACCAGGCTAATCTAAGATGCACATTTAGCTGAGCATTTTCCATGAGAAAAGAAAATAAGATAAGCGTATATTAATTAAATAATTAATTAAGTCATATCCTACTTTTGCATTTTTTAAATAAATAACTTAAAGTGATTAGAATTCAGGGTCTCCCAGTTTCTAGCCCGGTGCCTTAAATACTAACTAGACCAAACATCTCCTTTATTTGAAATTTTTGTTATTGTAGTGTCTCTTTTTAAATACAAAACAAACACATCCTTGGTAATCAATATTGTGGTTGCTTTTTGTATGGCCTATTGATTTTAGCGTAAATTACTTAGGAGGAAACAGTTGGTACCTTGTTCTAGAATCTGATCTTGGGTAGCACTTGCTTTGAAAAGCATCTAGTCAGATAGTCATTGCAAACTTTCATATGATATTGCTATTTTTGCCAATGCTTATGAAATCCCATGGTGAACAGCATTTGCTAAAATGTATTTGTACTGTTTTGCAGGGAGATCTAAAAAGCAAACTAGTAAATGGCTGCAGAGCAGAGCTTGTGGAATATGTTGCATATGGCCATGGTGAAAAATACAAGTTGAAAACAAACTACTCACTGCCCTGGGAAGATGTGCAGACAAATGAAAAAGGAAGTATGGCCGGCTTAGAAACAGAGAAGTGGGTGCCGAATGAAAATCCATCACTTAATATCCATGTGAATGGAGATCTCTGTAACGCTGAAACCAGGAATGAGAACTTAACACATTTTGAAAAGGATGCAAAACTCGTTTATTCTTCCAGCATAATAGATGAGGCCCCCAAGTTATTTGCACATACAGCTAGAAATGGCATTAAAATCTTACCGCATTCACCAGCAGAATGTGACACATCATTGAAATCAGATGTGAGCACACTGAAAAAAGCAGATGTGAACACTACTGCAAAGCTGGCCAACAGCTGCAATCACAGTAACTCCAGTGCCTCCTGGGGTGAAGCGGCTCAGCTGAACAGCATCTACCCTTTGGCAACTGGAACATATGGTGCTATTCCAGAAGAGAAGGACTATGTTGTAGGCCACCAGACAGAAAACCCAAACGCAAATCAGGAAGCCGAAAATTCACTATTGCAAACCATTTCACTTTTACATTTGCAGGACAAGCCACCCTGTACTCCTGTGCTTGAAAGGGGTGCTTGTCTTGATGATGGTGCTTCAGATATTCCTAGTAAGGATTCCCAACCTGAAGATTTGCAACTTCAGTCAACTTTTTTATCTCTGATTAAAAACAGAAATTTAACTGTGGAACAGGTGGTAGCTATTGAGGCATTAACACGTTTGTCCGAGGTCCCTTTAGGCCATTCTTCACCAGCTAAACCAGAAGGTTTAGAGCAGCAAGCGTCGCATTTGCTGAACAGTTACAAAAAGGATAACCCGTGTCCCTTAAAATCATCTGCACTGAAAGTAATAAAAGGGACTTGCCCACAAAAAGACCCACAGCTTCTTTCTCATCCTTCCTCCCAGAGGAGAATCAACCATAAGAGTCTGTTCTACAAGGCTCAAGGTGCTATTTCTGAGTTCCCCAGTAAATGTCCATCTAACTTACTGCGTAGGTTGCATTGCACCTCAAAAGACACCAGACCTTTCTCTGCTTTAGCGTCTGGTGGAAATTCAGGTATTGCTACCAAGAAATGTCCTCTTCATCATAAAACTGCTCTTGGGCCATGTTCCAAAACCTCAAGTACCGCCAGACAGTGGTGGAACAAAGGAGAGATGCTTGGCAAATGGGAGGGAAAGGCTGTTCACAACCTGAATTTAAAAAGCGGTTCTGTATTTAAGGGTGGTATTCACAGCCAAGATGAAGAAGAGGTAGCCACCCAGTTAACTCAACTCGCAGCAATAATTGAATCGAGCAGAACAAGCCCCAATCCGAAGATGACGACAACCCTTCTTGGTCGATTACCACCTGATATGCAATCAAAAAATAAGCAGGATCAGTGCCTATTGCAGAAGAAACAATCGGTATTTGGGAGGAACAATTACACCTCCTCGTTAGTCAAGCAAAGGCAGCCACCTCGGAAGAATGAGAAATCAGTACCGAGGGCCAAAAGATTGAAGAAGAAACCTCAAGTAGTACCAGACCAACCAAGTCAGCTACAGCAAGAATGCCAGTATAGTGAATTGCAGGACATACAGAAAAAACCTAAACTGCGCAGACTTGGGCGCATTGCATCACAAGATGCCAAGCTGTCAGCCTTGGGGAAAAAATCTTCCAAAACCAAAGGACCGAAGGCGCGGAATCGGAGTGCTTTGTCATCCCAGCAAAAACCAGCTGTATTATTTCTTCCGAAAACTCAGATAATATTCCATCGGCCTTTACCGGCTTCAATACAAGGCAAAATAAGAAATAAGCCATTAGGCTGTGAAATGGTGCCAGAGCCCCTCAAGACAATAGGCTTTAGCGATGCACAAGGTGCCAGCAGCCTGAGTGGGGTCACGGGGGCTCTTCAACGTGGAGCCCCGCTTTCTAGTAATCTGCTGACTGTTCCTCAGTTAAAAACAGACTTTTGCATAAAACAAGGAAGTGAAAACGGGCAGATGTTTACAGAAAAAGACAAGAATTCTCAGGTACAACAAACCATGAATATCCCTCAGCTGAATCCTTTTCCTCAGATCTTCAGTCAAAGAGCTGATGGTGACATCTGCGAGGAAAGCCAAGCTAAATCACAAGGTGCTGTGGAACAAAAGGATCAAAATCTGCAACTGATCCTCCGTAACGGTGATGATGGCTTGCCAGGGGATACCATGCACACTCTTAGAAATGTGGAGCATGTAAGTGAAGCTACATTTCCAACATTAAGAACTTTAGAGACTGAAAAGCAACAGGGTACTGGGAACTTAAGATGTTCTCCAACAAAGAATACACTCAGTAGTTTTCTTGAATCTCCCTTGACATTCTTAGATACCCCTACAAAGAATTTAATTGATACACCTTCAAAGAAAGGACAGAGTAATTTTCCAACCTGTGACTGTGTGGGTAAGTGTCCTGTGGTTTATTTTTGCATGGTTGAATTTTGAAATCTTTTCTGTCTTTCTGTATGGATCAAGTTGCCTTGTCAGGTAATGAAACGTCTGCAAGCAAAAAGCTCAGAGCACCAAGAACTCCAGAGTTCAACCCTGAGCTACAGATATTCTCTTTTATTAAAATCTTTCTTTTCCTCAGAATTCCCCAGAAACTTCCAAATATTTACACATGCTGTAATTCATGAGTTCTCCTAGGTGCTGCTTGGAGTGTCCAAACATGGGTTAACTTCAGCTTGCTGCCCAAGGACTGAATTCAAATCTTTGTGTAGCCACGCCT